CCCCATGTAAAATTTTCAAAAAAAATGTGACTCCCCCCTATAGAAATTTTGACCCCCCCCCCCCAAAAAAAAAAAAAAAAAAAAAAAAAAAACATTCATTAATCTCATTTTAGTTGAGTAAATGACTATGATCTTGTAGTGTGCATAATGGAGGATACATTGGCTCTTTTTTGTAGTTTGCAAGTGAAAATTTTCATGAAAAAAATTAGCAAATTAAAAATGTGCACATAATGAAAATCTGGTTCCCCCGTGAAAATTTGACTCCCCCTCCACAAAACTTCATAAATCTCATTTTATTTGAGTATATGACTGTGATCTTGTAGTATGTAAAATGGATGATACATTGGCTCTTTTTTGTAGTTTGCAGGTGAAAATTTTCATGAAAAAATAAGAAAATTAAAAATGTGCACATAATGAAAATCTGAATCCCCCATGAAAATTTGACTCCCCCAAGATCACAGTTATATATTCAAAATAAAATAAGATTTAAGAAGTTTTGTGGAGGGGGAGTCAAATTTTCATGGGGGGAGTAAGATTTTCATTATGAAAATCTGACTGGGGGAGTCAGATTTTCATGGGAGTCAGATTTTCATGTTACACCGGTTCAATTGCACCCACCCAGGCAGCAGTCCACATAGTCTTCGCAGCAGTCACCGTATCTCAGACAGGCACTGTTACACTGACAGGAGCGGGCACGGTCTAGTGAAGCACCGCAGCGGCCGTCACAGAACTCTGGAACCAAAAAACATATACAATTCCCTAAAATGTGTCATGGATGAAAACAAAAGAGTCCACTGCAGTCTCAAAATAACAATATTTATTTATAATTCAAACCTGCGGCGCAGCTGAACAAGTCTACAGGTCGTTTTTTTTTTCGCAAATGTACAATAACATAGTTGTATCGCTAAAAATGATTGCCATTGCACATGAATTTAAGAGGTATTTTGGTTGAGAAATGCTTGCAGTATATTTTTAATTTTTGTAAAAATTGTTTTTAAAATCATTTCATCGGGAATACCATAGACATTAAATAAAAAAAGAAGAATTAAAAGTATTTGCATTGGTTAGAACTCGTTAAAAATACAAGAAAAAAATAAAATAAACCTCACCTTCGTTAGCACTTGCGTTTATAAGCAACGACAGTAATATGAGAGAAACAAGTCTTCTCAAAGTTCCCATGCTGGATCAGTTTCTGTGTGACAAAAACTACGCATTCCGTGAACCATATTGATTAATATAAGGGCATTCTTGGTAAATATGAGGTTTGCGGACCTTTTAGTCTGGAATAATTCTGTCTTATAATTTCTTAATTCTCAGTGAAAAATGAACGACGTTGAATAAATTTTCTATTTATTTTATCAATTTATCTATTTATTATTTCAGGACGCATTTTGTGTTTTGTTAGATTTTATTTTTAGATCCTTTATGAGTTTTTTGTGCTGCAGTGTTTCGTTATCTAAGCAATTTTTTTACTTCTTCAGTTATCATTATTATTATATTTTTTTAAATTTATTTATTTATTTATTTGTAAACCAGTGTTTACCATTCCATCTGCCTTAATGAAGCCCGTGCTATTAACGAATACTTGAACCGAGACACGCTCATGTACTCACTTCAATAGGTTTTAGAAATACACCCTCATAACTTAATTTATTGTAGCAGCGTATGTCGTTTCCACACGCTCAAAAGCGAAGGACATAGGGGGCGAATAAATGGCACAAAATGCACCGTAAAAAAGTTTTGAACCCTTTTCGTAATGTCTCTTCTCAATCTCATTCGATCTTTACTCAAAATCAAAACTGAATTAATTCTCTATCATGGTGTATTCTCGAGTCTCCCAACTATAGTTGTGGTACCTCTTAAGTATGTGACTCTGCGTAATAATAATTTTGGAGTTTTTAAGTAGCGTTTTTAAATTTTTGACCATACCATTTCTTGGAACATTTATACCGAGCAACGATGGCCATTTACAAACCTCGTTTTTCTTGAATCAAAATAGTCACAAAAACAATTATTTACTGTAATTGATGGTAAATAAATGACATCCGTCCCCTGTACTTTTAATTAAAGTGCTAACACATATGGCTTGCGATCCGTGCCATATGGCAGGCAAGAATTACAATATAATTATGGTGACTTTGAACAAATTACTTTGTGACCGAGTTAAATCAAGGGCCCTTAAAATCGGATAATCCTAAAACAAACTCGTTATGTTCCCGTTCTGAGAAACACTAGCCTGTAATTCGCGATTTTTAACCTATCCAATATTCAAAGTATAGCCAACATCTTAAAAGAACACGAGCAAGTAACTAAAAGCTAAAACATTTGATTTTATTACAAAGGCATATTGGGATGAAATTTTACAACGTCCACAATAAAATATACTTTTCTATATAACTTCATTTAGACAGACATTGCTTTTAAGTGCAATAAAGACTGTCCCAACACAACTGATACTGCTAAATAATAGAGAAATGTGACGTTTTTGGATAATCTTGAAGCTCTTACAAGACCTTTGTCACCCTTTATACTTCTCTGATAGCCACAAGTGTATGATGTTCCTTTCTCCTATAAAAAATTTCTATATATTACTTATGAGAAAGTACAAAATGTATGTCATATAATAAAAAAACAGAAAAAGAAAAAAAAAGAAAAGAATATGACAAAACGATTTTATAAATGCTACAACAGGGAAAGAAACGTTCTTTTTATTTGGGCATCCATCGCAATCCCCATCAAATGTTGAAATAATCGCCATATCCTCCCGGCTCTGAGAATGCCTCATATGAAGTTTATATTGTCTTTGAGAAGCTCCTTTCTCAGTTTATGTGGGCACATGTACAACCAGCCCGCTTGGGGCAGCCATGTTCTTAAAAAGCTGTATAGTTGGGATTCCCCATCATACTGTTCCCCATGCCCATACTGCTGCCCATGTTGTTCATGCCACCTAGGCCACTGCCCATACTGGTACTGTAGCTGCTCATACCTTGAAATAAAAGTAAACAAAATAATAAATTAATTAAGTTATAAATAAATTAATTATTACATAAAATGAAATATACATTCACGAAATATATTTCAAAGGCAGAATTGGAGATTTTACAAAAACAAATCATCGTATTATGCACACTTCCGTGTTGAATGCCACACTTATCTACATAAAGTACCATCTAATTTCAATCAAAACACATTTTACATTAAAAACACACATAAACATGGTATTTCCAAATTTTTTTCAGATTTCATAACCAGAAAGAGTTAATCTCTCCTACCTCCATCTCCAAAGCCTCCTCCCATATTGTTCATCCCCATGTTGTTGCCCATATTACTCATTCCCATGTTTCCCCCTCCGCCGCCCCCTCCTTGGCGACCCTGGGGCGTGGAGTTCAGGAAGAGCTCTATGTACCGATGCTCTGAAATATTTAAGTTTAAAGCACATCAGACCTGCAAGTCTGACTGAAGCATTAAAGACCTAGACACTGCTTATGATCAAGTTTTTTAAAAATCATTATCATTTTGGGAATTGCAATGAATTTATGTACCACATTTATTACCTTTGCATCACTTCAGATTTTATTTAAAAAGTAACTAATTTTCTTAGTTTTATCTTTCACTTTCATATTTAGGGTTAAAATGAAGTTATGAACCACATTCATTATATTTACATCCATAAATTAAAAAAACTGATAACTTGAAAATAAAAGCTTACCCATGTTAGTTTTATCCTTTTTCATGGCCTCTTGACTTTCTTCATGGGTGGCAAAGTCCACATCTGCCTCCCCTGTGGCCCTTCCATTGGGTTGGAAATGAATGACCACATTCACTGGGTTTAATGGGCGGAAAAACTGAAATTAACCAATAATTCTATTACCTACAGTATACACAGATAAGAAATAAGTAAACGCCCTTTAATAACTTCTTTCAAAAAGTATATAATGAAAGAAAAAATACATCCCTGAAAACAATGAGTTCGATTAAAAATTCATAAGTCCAACAACAAAATTTGCAGACAGTGAGAAACTAATCCTAACAATCACTAAAACTTTCTTAAATCCAATCTGACAAATTATTTTGAAAAATTTATGCCTTTTAAGTCGAACACCAAATATACCAGTCTTTTGTCTCAGATCAATGGCTAAAGTTGCATACAGCATAGTAATTGCAGTTTCTTACACTAACACCTCAAATTTCAGAGACATGACAGGAAAATGATAATGTTAATGTCTCAAGGTGCTGTGGATAGGATATTTAGTCAAAGACAATTGAGAATAGCACAGAGACCAGGCTTCTATTAGTTTTATCTAAATTCATCTTTCTGAAATACACCTGGAAGTGTACTGAAATTTAGAATATTTTAAAGGGTGCAAACGTGACTGTTAATGTTTTCAGCTACTCACGTCCAGAATATCTTGCTCTGTAGCTTGGAATGGCAGGCCTCTGCAGTGGACAGAGTGACCAGTCTGACTGTTGAAGTTGCTGCCCGGTGTCCCTGCACCAAAGCCACCTCCTCCTTTTCCACCAAAACCTTTGGATCCTCTGTTCATCCCCCCACTCATGCCTCCCATGCCTCCTCCCATGCCACCTCCTCGCCTATTGCGGAAATTTCCACCAAAATTTCCACCTCCATATCCGCCACCTCCACCAAAACCATTGCCGTAATCATCATAGTCATCGTCAAAAAAGCCTGTAATAACAGTAATAATAATAAGTACCACAAAAATGTATAGCTTCAGTTCCTTTTAAAGAATTCAAAATATGCCATTTTCATTTTTAAAAAGAGACACTGAATATAAGTCAATAAGCACATTTATCATAATCATAATTATAATGGTAAAGGACTTCCTTTTAAAGAACTTAAATGCAGATTCTCAAAGAGAGAAAATAAAACTTAAGGATATAAGTGTACTTTAACCTCTGTAATCAAAACTAAACCCTTTCATCAAGTCCGATCACTATGTCAAATGCTTTTTATTCACTAATTCAACATATACTGAAAACATAAATAGTGAAATACCTTTGATGTTCCTTCCTCTTCCTCGGTTTCCATAGGAACCCATTCCACCCATGCCACTCCCCATTCCACTGCCCATGCCGCCTCCCATGCCACCACCAAATCGATCCACCCTGTCGTATGGTCCAGGTCTCCCCATACCACTGCCCATGCGGCCTCCACCGCCGCCACCCATCCGTGACATCATCTCCATTCTCTGCATCATGTTCATGGCATTTTTGGCTTCCTGTAAGCTGCTCTTAAATATCTCTATGTACCTGAAACATACATGACAGAAGGAGGTGAAAAAGGGCATTCGGAATAAAATCTGTACTCAGCTACTGGGGACATATTCTTTGACCCGATTTAATCAACTATGAGCAAGGAGGATAACTATTGACTTTTCGGATGGATGAATTCATTGCTTGACACCAGAGCTTTTTTTATTATTGCACATCTTACTGAATATCCTTGCAACTTAAGGCCACTTCCTAGAATATATCCCCTGGATATTATAAATTTCCCCGTTTTTAAATGAAAAGTTGAAAAAATACAACCCTGAGGTATGCTTTGGATTTTGGAGTTTCGTGGGTAAACAAAATAACATCAGAAAATTAAATCAATGATTGACATTATTTGGAAAGAGTAAAAATGGAATTCTCTTTGGTCTTTCAGACAGGGAAAGCTACTTTGACAATTGATAGCAAAGACATGTAATTTAACTTTTGTATATATCAATCTCTCTCAACATCAACACCGGATACTTATCCTCACGTGCATCCCATAAGCCAATTTTTTACAACCAAAAAAGCTCTAATACAGTTATCACTCTTCCCAAAAGCACTCCATTCATCATTCTGTGTCACCAACAAAGCGGTAAATGCTTCTCTAGACTTTATGTTATTACACTGAGCACTTCAAAATTTCACTGCTTTTTGTCAACAGTCGGTCTTATTTGAATAACTCCAGTCAAACATTCAACCAAAAGATCATTTGCAAAACAATCAAATCACATTTTCTCATAGCCCACATCTTAATTCTTATTTTTTTCTTCATTTTTCAAAAAGAAAAAAAAATGGCTGAAGTAATCATGTGTTAACGAATGAGCTTTCAATAAATTTTTTTTCAAAGAAAAAAAAAGCTACCGGGTGATTGCAGTGCTGAAAACATCAGGTTCTTTGTATCAAATGTCTTGAATTCAGCAAAATGCTAAGTGTGCAAGTTTCAAGGTTGTGTGCCTTTCAAGATGCTAATGTGTAAAATAAAAGAAATTAAAAAAAATGTTATGCAGATGTAATCCTTAGTTGTTTTTTTTTCTGATAAAAGCAAAAATATGACTGCAAGATTTATCAAAACAGACACCCCCACTCATATTTCTTCCAGAAAAAAAAAAAAAAAAAAAAATTGAAAAAATAAATAAATAAACAAAGCTGAAAAGTGAAGTGGAAAAAAAGGAACTCCCTGGGTGTGTTGTGGGGAGAGCAACCCCCTCTCCAGGTGGTGGTGGTGGGCATCCCCCTGGCTGGCACAGGTGTCCCTCTAAATCAACATCACCCACCATAAGATACCTCCATCTCCCCACACCTTCCTCCCACCTCATTACTGGGGCCTGGGGGTACTTGAGACAATTTTAACTACTGTTGCTATGACGACCGTTGGAGAGACCCATCTGTCCCCCTCCTTCCCACCTGTGCCCTATTGTTTTCTTGTGTTTTTCTAAGGCCCGCTCTGCTAAATCTGGTGACGCAAACTGGACATAAGCATCCCCCGTTGTCCTCCCCTGGCCATCTTGTGGTAGCGTTATACCATTAGGTACTATCTCCAACCCTGCGTAACCCAGACCCAATAGAATAGTGCCATTTAGCAAATCAAAGGACATGTATTTATATATATAAATATATACATACACTAGCTTTATAAACAATGTAGTAGCGACATCAATAAAACAAATAACAGAAATTATTCTCCAAATGAGACTTATTTCTTGTCCATTTCTATTACTACTGACTAAATGTGACAGCATTTGCTGTCGCTCACTAACAATTTATGGTTTCTGCACGAGTACTTATTTTAAAATTATAATTCATTACTACTTACATCTCAACACTTACAACCAATGGAAATTAACCAGCAAAAGGAGGAATAGATTTCACTTCATATACATAATCTGCCATGAGGAAAAGATTCTCCTCAATTATTTTCATTGCTCACCCGTTACAGCTTCTCAAATCAGTAATAAAATATATTAAAAACAATTATGTATTTGATAAAAAAATACAAAAATATAACCAAAAACATAATATCATTTATGGTTGGCATGATTCGCACCTGTGAAAAAATGTGCTATTTCTTCCTTTGAGCATCCAAACGGTAGTCCTCTCAGCCTAATGACGGCATCTCCTCCTACCATTTGGTTGGGACCTGCCCTCTTCACTACCCACTCCATCTCACTCTGTTTGGATCGGAACACTGCAATGAAAATGGTTCTTCATCTTTCTCAAATCAAAGTAACAATTACAAATCTGCTTTGTCAATAATTTCATCAAATAAAGGGCTAAAACAAAAGTTTACAGTGTCCAGCCCACGTCTGCTGCATTTTATGGGGTTTTATAACTATCTTTTATTCTTAGAAAAAAAACTTGCTGAAATAACTGATCAGAGAAATTTAAGCATCTGTTTTAAATTTATTCCTCCATTATCTACAGACTACATTTGTTTATCTATAAAAATTTATTTAGACCAAGCAGTTTCAATTGCTCTACCAGTCCCTGAGTCACAGTCTTAAGCACAGATCGAATATGTCATTTAACAGCGCACTTGTTCAATTTGCTGGCATCATACCTTCAATATTATTTCTGTTATTACATGGTGAAATTTGTGTAATTAAAAGAGGAATATACTTACTTCATCCTGTGCACTTTGCTAAAACTAGCCACTTTAAATGAGTAAACATGTGATTGAGATATTATTGTATGCTTCACAGCATTAAAATTAAATAGAGAAATAGACAGACCTTCTATATACCTCCTGCCCATGTGTTGGTTGTGTTTAGCCACTGCATTGGCTACGTCTTCCTCAGATGATAGCTGGATGTATGCCTCTCCACTTGGCCTGCCATCTCGAGAAAATGTGAAATGAACTCCATTCTCTCCATCAGGTATATTGCAATCTGCAATCACATCAAACAAAATAAAATCTATGATGTCAGACTTTGACAGAGCTGCTTAAAATACATGATCACTGCACATGTAGTCTTAAGTATTAAGGCTAACCTTGCTCTAAAATTTGGACAGCTATCTATGAAAAGTCCATAATGCAATCAGATTTCGAGTCCAGTGATATGATGTCCAACAGACATTACATTAAGTTAAATAGCATTCCTACAGCAGAATAATGATAGATCCCATGAAAATACATACCACTGAAAAACTTGACAATCTCCTCGGGAGTTGCAGACCACGGTAAACCACGTACACGGACAATGAACCCTTCTTCCTCGTCCTCTTTACAATCTGGATTCATTATGTTTTAACTGGATAGTGAACAGTATCTGACTGAAATTAGCAAGTAACATCAATAGTGGAACTGCACATATATTTTTCACATAAAAAGTTATTTCTATGAGCAATGAAAATAAAACAGAATGATTTCCAAAATACAATGCTAATCAATGGAAAATGAGAAAGCAACATGTGAAAAGCCGAATGAAGATAGCACAGAATGTTTACACTTCTTCCACATTCCCAACAGCTGATTTCATTCACTTGTGAATCTGATAGCTCTTGCACTTGTTTTCAAGTTGATTTGCCTTTCTTAATGTTACAAAAAGCACGATTAATTACTTACCAACATCAACAATTTACCAAAATGGCGTCCACAGCGTGAGTGGGGAATGCAGGGAGTTCACAAAAGAATTGAATTTTTTTTATTTTCTACATGTGTCGCTCTTTTGAAAGTAAAGTTTCTTTTTGTTGTCATAAAGCAACATAACATCGAAAATTGGATGTAGTAAGCAACATATTTTCAATTAAATCAAACAGTTTTTTGTCAAGGTCGCTTCGAGTACTTCCGGTCTATATACTTTCAAAACATTGGCCTCCATTTTGACAAATAGCTGACACATCATCCGGAAATCTATTCCATCCTTACTTTTATTTCTCAGCGAGAGAACGTTTATTCCATGAAGTGAAAGAAGATATATCTCAACAGAGCCTGTTGACATTATTTTGGTGCTTTGCTTTTGGATATTGGAGAAAATGAGCTTCCTATTGTAAGTGTTTAGATGTTCATGTTTGTAAACATAAGTCGTCCTGTACGTTTGACACTGTTTACGTTTGTGAAATATTTGCATATATGAATTGTTTTTGCTTAACGATAAAGAACCCCGCTAGATTTGATACTACATGTCTGTATCCATGAACACAATTTATTATATTAAGTCCGTGTCACCTGGTACTTAATTTTGAAGTAGTCTAACTTAGTTACAGCTAGCAGTAGCTATGCCAATACGTCATATCTGTCACACTCACAGTGCTAATACTACGAGGAAGTTCAGAGAAGATCGTTCTGTTAGTTTATATCAAATTTTAGAATGAAGCTGTACTTAACATCAAGATGATGTTAGATGAATGAGTTTGTCACCTTGCAGTAATTGTGTAATGGTCGTGTTTTTTTTTTCTCATATACTCACATGATATTTGAGAGTTGCAAGTGGGATATGTTTTAGTAGACAGAGGAACTAGCGGGTCATTGTTATTGCTTCTGAACTCAACCCAATTATTGTTAGAGCCCCCAGGTCATGGATGAATTTATAACCAGACGTTTTCATAATTTTTGATGGTATCTGATCCTAAATAATCTTTGGTCATGATAGCAGTACTTATTTGAATCTATCCATATATGGAATAACTTGTGAGGGGTTAAAAAGTGTTATTTCCCACACTTTCCTATTTCACCCAATTTTCTCAGAGTTATCTGTGTAACAGCTTGTCTTATCATTGCCAAATATTCTAGTACAGAGGCTGAGAAGGACTTGGCTACATAACACATCAGTGGACAAGTATTCATCTTGTCATGTTAACATGTCAAAATACTGGTACATGTGATATGTTGCTAACAGCTGAGCCCAACAAAGATGGACACTGAGACAAGAGGGATACTGGAGACTTTTTCACAAAATATTTTGAGTCCAAACTCATTTTGTGTTTAACATAGAATAAACTAGTAAAACTAAAGATAGATCAGATTTTGTGTTTCTGGGCCTTCCAGCCAATTGTTATTGTCTTTGCAAAGTTTTTAAATAACAGATCAGTGCTACCAGTAGCCATTTACATGCTATATATTGCTAAGCCATCCATAAGCCATCCTGAGAAACCAACCCCTCATTTCCCCAAAATTTTGTAAGTCATCCAGGAATCTTCAGAAATACAGGCTATCTTTTGAGCCAAGGGGGTCATCTCTACTCCTTGCTTTTGCCATATTGTCAGAAGTATTCTGTTTTTATTTTATTTTATTTTTTTGCCTAAGTCAATTTATTTTTGCATTTGGCGAGTATAGTGAGAGCTGGTGTAATCCCAGCTTGTTAACACAGGTATAGAAAATGCTGGAAAGTTGTGTATAAAAATTAAATTGGTCTGCATGGTGGTAGCTTGCAAGTCGGCTTCTACCAGTTTATAATGATTGCATTTTTATGCACAGCATTTCTCATGGGAACTTGGAAAAATCATAAAAAGTAGCATGCCTGTAATATACAATCATGCATAATGCAAATTGTATCATGCTTAGGTTAGACTTATGAACAATATGACTGACAAATAACTTCTTGGAACATAGCATTTTGGCAACTCCAAGTCACTCTGAAATCCAGCATCAAGTTTTATGTTTGTGGTTTCAGCTAGATGCTTTTCTATTTGCATTAGTTAAACTAATTTCTACTTTTCCGTAGATTCAAAGAATCAAGCCATCAAATGCATTGTGTTTAAAAGGAAGAAAAGTGCAGAAATATACCTTAACCTTTACTAGGTACATTATTTTACTTATGGTCGAACATAGAGTGTCTAGGTCTGCTGCGGATATAATTTTGTCCAGGTAAATCGAGTTGAACACATTTGTGGCCTTTTTGGAAAGAAAACAGCAGTATAGACTTCATTATACTTTGTTCACATAACAATGTGCCTGTGACTCACTGCTTGGTTGATATGTTGGTTTCTTTTTGTACTAAAAAAACTGAGGATAATTGCTTGAAGAAATTTCATTATGAGAGATCCTATCTCCTAAAACTTTGTAAAGTTAAATGGATCTTTTCTAGAGCGTGACAACCTTCAGACAAAATATGTAATCATTTTCTTTTTTTTTTTTTTACATTTTATTACTTCTTTAGGATGTGAGGTTTTCAAATGCTTTAGGAATGTGTCTGTTGTCTAAGTGGAGAAGTACAGAAATGACTAATCTTTGTTGAAGCATGTAAGTTGTTTAGGCCTTATTTGGAAGTCTTGTTTAGAAAAGAAAGTCGTGTGCTCTCTGCCCCCCCCCCCTTTCCCTCCAGCCTATTGTTTATTTTTGGGTTTTTAGGTGATAAAAACGAGGTGATTGCTTTCAGTCAAAAATATCTTCGTATAATTTTTTTGTTAGGAATTACTGGTAGACTAAAGAAGGCAAAGTCAGCTGTTAATGCTGAGTTGAGGTTTCTATTTGTAATTTATTAGGTCTTATTGAGACTTAGAGGAGGGTCAACAACACTTGTTTGCTGAAATTAATTAATATAGATGTCATGAGGAATGAGTCAGAATTTTGGGTGATTCATTGGGTTTGCTGCCATATTAATTGTAGCTCTCAGATGACATCAAGCATAGTCTTAATTTTATACAGAAAATAAATTGGCCTCACTCTGGCATAATGGATTTTTGCCACATGCTAAACATATTTCTATTTGTCAATGGAAAATGTGAAATATTTTGCTGTTTTTAAAGAAATTCATCTTGGATTTGGTTCGCACATTTGATTTGCTAAAAATGTCCAGCTATATGACTGAAAGTAACTTTTCCAAAGGTAGCCCTTTATGAAGTAAATACAACAGGATATAAAATAATATATTCTATCTTTTCAAATCAGGTGTATAATATCTGGTAATGACGTCAGGTATCTTGGCCCAGGGAGTGTTGCTGCTGGTGCCCCATTACACATACTACATTCCTTTTTTGCTTGAGAAAGACTATTTCATGTATCCTTGTGTTATTTTCCATATCCTATTTGTCTGTGTATAAGTGGCTTAGCAGGACCAGATGTATAGCTGTCTGGGAATCAGGTATGGGATGTTTACTTTTAATTTTGGGACCCATTTCATAGAAGAACATTGTGAACAAGGAAAGTTGGGTTTTGACTTTTGGACAAAATTGTGTTAATTCAACCCTTAATTGGTAGAAATAATACTAATAAATGTCCATTATGAAATTATTATTAGAATTATACCCCATGTAAATGATAGAGGATAAAAAGCTGTTGGATTTGTTTTTGTGAACCACAGATCAATTGCTGTACTAGTAATCATTTCAGAATCATCCTATTTTGATTTGATCATGTGTCTTATCAGGAGCTTGATTATTAAGAGTTGCATGTAGTGACAATGCATTCTTAGTATTATTTTAGATCATTTGGTAGATATAAAGAATTATTTTCGTTTATCTTTATTGAGGGCATAAATGTTGAAATGACAAATGAATTGGCATTTATCTGCTGCTCAGTCGGCTGTGGTATTGACCTCTTAATTAACCTCTGGACAAAAGAGGTTTCCCAGTCTGAACCAGAATTGGATTGAGTTTCATCTGAGGAAATGTCAGAAGTGGAAGTGATGGTCGAGTGGTATTTCCTCCTCTATTCACTGGGTTATCATTACTTTATTACCAGTTTTGAAAGTTCCAAGGAATTGGTTTCACAAAAGAGTTCAGAATTGAAAGTTTGTCTTATTTTTAAGATCAAAATTTTGGGATAAATTTAATTCTGCTTAAATATAAAACCTCCACATTTCCAAAAAGTGAACTTCCACTGATGTATCCCAGTTCAAAGTAGACTGAAATCTTTGGTGTTAAGGTCAAGACCAATTTTCATTTAAAAAGCTCTGTTGAAACAGGCCCTCAACTGGTCAGGTAAGGTGCCATAAAGGTAAGCTTTATTTAAACACAGGCAAAGATCATGGGGCTTCTCATACCTTGTTGCCAGGGGATTGGAGAGGGGCCAACATTTTCCACATTGTTTCCTCTCCAGATACGGGACTTCTCTCCCTCGTGTACTCCTTTTCTCTGGTCTTTCCGTGATATCTCTGGTTCTGATGAGCACTGGCAACAGCCACAGAGCCAGGGCAGGCTGTTGTTTTAAGACACATCTGGCACAGAGGGTCTACAAGTTGTTGAATTCGCTTGATTGGTTTTAATGGTTCATTTGATTTGACCCTGCACTTCATCTTGTGAACTGGGAACAGCTGTGACCCCAACTGACTCTCTGGCAGGAGAGAAAGAGTAGAGCAGAGAAAAGGGTTTCTGGTTTTAAAAGGATATAGCACTGTAACTGACCAAGGATCTGGATCTGTATTTGACTTTGACTTTGTTCGATGACTTTTCAATCCTTAACTGATCGAAACCAAGTTGTCCTGTATTTCTAACACACTTTGGGAGAAGTTTGGATATTGTGTGCTTGGCGAAATCGAGTGTATTTTATGGATATTACTATATGGAAAATGATATGACTTTCAAGCTCTGGATGGACCATATTATAGGAAGGAAGCTATAAATGTAGACAAACAAATGTATTCTTGTCTGCAAAAGGCATAACAAACTTTAATTGAGGGAGTAGAAAAGGAAGAGGCTTTATTTTACACACAATACACCTCTGAAGTGGTCATAAAGCTTATCATAGATATACATTTACACTTTCTATATATATATACTAGTATAGATATAAAATAACATCAGTAATACATGCAATATAAAGTGGAAAGTTACTGGAATAGAGAAGATTTTCAAGCTGTGGATAACTAGATATATCTGGACCAGTGGCTGTTTGGACTATTGTGTTTGGATCTGAATTAGGAATAAAACTATTTGCAGACTGCATTGTGATGCAGTATTGTTTCTCTCTGGTTTAAATGGCCTCTTTCTTTACCAGCATCCTTGTATCATTGAGGTAGGAGTTCTGAAATTCTAAATGCCTGGGTTGCTTATATGACAAGCATCAGTATACAAAACACATGTCACATACTTTTTTGTTGTTGTTTTAATATTTACTTTGTGTCTGACGTATTTGTTGAAGGGATTATTATCATAACTTGATGCTTTTGGTGTGGGGCATTGTAAATATTCTGTTCTGCAGTATTATTTTCAAGTTGTTTGGAATTTCTTAGTGAGTCTAATTAGTGTTTTTAGGTATATATCTATGAAAGGTCATATTATTTAGTGCCCACCTGTTAAATTTTTGTGGAATCCCATCCTCAGGATTCTTATCTTGTTGTCATCTGTGGTGATGTACTGCATAGCATGTATGTTTGCAATATATTCAAATGGTAGATATTTTGTCTGCAATGTGTACATAACTTAGAGAGTTTTGGTGCTTGAATATTTTTGGTCCATGTATGTATATATGTACACCTAGTGAAGTCTGACTGGTATTTTTGTAATGGGTGGTATTTGCAATGAATGGTTATACTCCACAGAATTTCTGAGAAAATCTGAACTAATACCACTGATTTAGTATAGGAGAGATCTATCTGTGACTAAGGAATAAAGTAGGAACCCGTGTATACAGATGAGGATAAACCATGAGTTTGAGCAGAAGCATTGGCTTTGGTCTTTCAAGTGTGAGACTTGTGCTGCAGTTAAGGAGGTGACTCGAAACCGAAACCATTACTTATGTTAGAACACAGGCAGTGACCACATCCACTGACCAGGACTACTGACCACAGGATGTTTGACCAGGGCACGGATGGACCATTAACCTGACATGACATAAATTGCTATTACTGATGGACTTTATAAAACTTGTTTAATGTTTTGAATAACGCATAGGAAGCCCCACCCCTGGCAAAATTTTAAGTCCAAGTGATGTCTTTTATACCAATGCACAAATTGAGAGATGCCAAACTTTTGAAAGTTTTAAAAATGTTTTGCCAGTCCTTTATGCAGCATTGTTGTTGCACATGGTAAAATACCCAGAGGATCGCTGTTTGGAGATTTTCTAACATTTAATAGACCTGATTTTTTTGTTTTTGCTGAGCCACTATGCTCTTGTGCCCTGTCACATTTTATAAAAAGGCCACAAAATGCCATTTAATATTCAAAAGCACATTTATCTTTCCATTTTAGTGGAAGTCGCAACAACAAAACCTTCAAGCCAAAGAAAAACATTCCGGAAGGCACCCACCAGTATGACTTGATGAAGCATGCGGCCGCCACCCTGGGGAGTGGCAACCTACGGCTGGCGGTGATGTTACCAGAGGGAGAGGATCTGAATGAGTGGGTGGCAGTCAACAGTAAGTTCCTGCTAATTGTGTGTGTGTGTGTGTGTGTGTGTGTGTGTGTGTGTGTGTGTGTGTGTGTGTGAGAGAGAGAGAGGGAGAGAGAGAGAGAGTGCTGGTGTGTGTGGGTGTGTGCATTCATGCATTTGTTTATGTGTGCCTATATGAAGGGGCATCATTAAATCTGTTGGATTGTATGTATCAGTTAAGTGTGTGTTTGTGTGTGTGGGGGGGGGGTGCTTAAAATTGATGTTTAAATTATACTTAAAAAGGGATAGTAATTAAAGGGAAATGGACTGCTAATGTAGAAAGATACAAATGACCACATGACATTAAGTCCTGCCAGGTTTAAGAGAAGTACACAAGTCCAGCTATGTTATTTAGCTTTAATGGTCTTTAATGAATCTATTAAAAAGGAAACAGATGCTGGGAATAAAGCATCTGGATATGAATGAACTACTATGAGGTCTGATCTAGATCTGAATCTGAATTGAACAGCTTGCTAAAGAGGAATCAATTCTATACACTTGAAAATTCTTTGTGGAAATTCCACAGTTGCTATAAAAATAGGCATGTGGCCAATGTGTTTGGTTAAACACAAGCATGCATCTCTCAGTTACCTTCAAAGCAAAAATTTTATGATTGATTATATAATTCAGGGATTTTTCATGCATGTTTGATGTGTTGGTGAGACACAACACAAGTTTGCAGTCTAGGTAACATATTGATGATTGAATAAGGAGCAAGATGGTTCAAGGCCAACTTTGATTCATTTTACTATTAACATTTTAATTCCTCGTCGTCTTATGTTACAATCATTGTTTCATTTCGAAAGTTGAATAAATTTGTAAATTTCTTTTTTAATCTTCTTTCATCAGTTGAAGGCAGCAGGTCATCTTGAATGGTTGTGATGGGAAAATTGCTGTCACATTGTCTTCATTTTTAAATTTGAAATAAAAATAAAACTAAATTCAGAATTTTTAATAAGATTTAGAATTTAACTGTTATGTTTATTTCAATAGAATAATTTAAAGAAAAATAAACAGATAGGTTGTAAAGTTACATTTCTCTTTATTGAGCTGTGAATTTCTTCAATGAAATGTAATATTTTTCCTTTTTTTTCCAGCTGTGGATTTCTTCAATCAAATAAACATGCTGTATGGAACAATAACAGAGTTCTGTACAGAAGAAACCTGCCCTGTGATGTCAGCGGGACCAAAATATGAGTATCATTGGGCCGACGGCCAAACAGTCAAAAAGCCAATCAAGTGTTCTGCACCCAAATACATAGACTATTTGATGACCTGGGTCCAAGATCAGCTCGATGATGAACATCTGTTTCCTTCAAAAATTGGTGAGAATGATTATCCTAGGCCTGTTACACACAAAAGAACATTAGCCCAAAAATCAGTGTTAACCTTTCAAACCAAAATTTGTTGGCCATGCAAGGTAATTGGTAGCAGTCTACTTGAAATTAAATATCGCACAGGAAAGACATGGCTGATATTTAAGGTCAATTTTGAATTATTTTTTTATCTTAAACTGTAGTAGACCAAGTTTTTGGTCAAGAAGTTAAGGCCAATTTTGGGCTGAAGTGTCTTGTGCAACTGCCACCAGTTGAAGTGTGTCTTAATGAGTCAGTGGAAAGCAGTGTTAATAGGCTAAATGTAATTAAATGTCATGTACCTTATTGGGAAGTGCTCTTATTAATTTATAGCAGATTTTAAAGCTACAGTAAAATAGTCAGTTTACAGGTTCATTAATAGAGTGTAATGATTGGAATTGAATATTTATAACATATTTAATCTAAACTGATGGTTATATGTAAGGCATCGCTGAAAGTTATTTGTTATTATTATTATTAATGTTGTTGTTGTTGTTGTTGCGCCTTCAGGTGTGCCATTCCCCAAGAACTTCTTATCAATTGCAAAGACTATACTGAAACGGTTGTTCAGGGTATATGCCCACATCTATCACCAGCACTTCAAGGAGGTGGTCCAGCTCAGCGAGGAGGCCCACCTCAACACCTCCTTCAAACACTTCATTTTCTTTGTGCAAGAGTTTAACCTGATTGACAGGCGAGAACTGGCCCCTCTGCAGGAGCTGATAGATCGGCTGACGAGCAAGGATAGGCCGTAGGCGTGATTGTGTGTTGAGATGGAATGAAATGGAGAGGAAGTGGTTAAAGAAGAAGGGGAGAAAAAAGGCGTCCACTGTTCTACAGCAATAAATTTTTATAGCACGTTGAAGAGAAGTTTGCTTTGTTGTGTAGATCGTGTTGACTGGTGCAAGTACAGTTAAACTGTAATACTATTGCAATCTCAAGATCAAATGCTTCATTTCGCATCAAATGAAGATGAAATGCAACGGAACTGTTTGTTTTTAAGACTGATTCGGATGTTTTGAATGGCTTATGCACTTTCATCCAGCCTTTTGTGTTTGACTTTTATTTTCATTTAACTGTATTTATGCCATCATTATGAACTGCTGCATTTTTTAAAAAATCTTGCACTTACTGTGCATTTAACAGCCGTTGCTAATTTGCATAAATTCTGTTCATCATCTTTGTGACTTTTTTTTTGTATTCTCATAATCATGTATAGCATTATTTGTTTTCAAATTCATTTCATATAATCATTCCATTGAATAAGTAGAAGTCATTTTTCAATTGTAGAGTATGTATTTATGTTTGTAACCTTGTCACAATACCAAAGTTCTTGAAAAGTGCTTGTAAAACTGTTACAAGCTTCAGATATTGTAACATATTATTGTTTTTATTGTACATCTGGTGCGATTTTAATTTTTTTCCTCACAATAATTATGTTAATAACCAGAGCTTAGAATGACAAAAAAGTGCTGCCTGAGAGGATCAAAAGATATCGGTAAGATTTTTAAATGTGCATAAGGAATATTGAGTCACTTACATTCAACTTAAGCATATTTCCCATGACCAGGATGGGATAAATTTCTCTTATGAATTTGGTTTGCCATGTAAGCTGGAAATCTGAGATCAAGGTGAAGACATGGCTTCAAGTCAATGAAAGAATTGGCTATTCTAAATTTAAGTGCTTGATCAGAAGTGAAAACATTTGAAATTGTTTTCCATCTACCATTTTCATTTTCAGACCAGTAAATTTTGATTTATACTGTTACCTTTCCTGTTACTTACTAGTGCAAGTAACCAGTAGAAAAGCAAAAGCCTCAAACTGAAATTACTACTATTATTTTCAGTCTTTTGACAGACACCAACCTCTATGTAGCACGTGTTTGTTAAAAAAATTGACAGTGTACTTTGGATAACTTCCAAGTTGTTTGCATACCAGGAATTTTAAAATTTAACATGGGGTTGTGGTGGAAGATAAAATGCCTGTTGAGAATGTTACATGACCGTTAGTTTAACATGCAACAGCTTGAAATTACTGGGGGCCATTTTCACAGAAGAGTTGTACACCTGGAATATGGCTTAAATTCAAACCAAAAATTTCTGTCTACTTTAAACAAAAGTAAACTTATAGTAGTCCACTTGTATGCACTATGGCTTCTGTTTTTATGTAAATGATACGCTAGAACAACAGTTTATTATAGTGGACCAGTATGGGTTTATCCTGAATAAAAGTAGACTAAAGTTAGAACCTTAAAGTTATAAGAACAGCAGCTTACATGAGATTGAATGAGGAACTAGCAGGGTTAACTCGGACATGATTCGAATAAATAACAAGGATAAATTATAAACACTGGACAAACATTTCAAAAAGCTCTGTAAGCTTTCTTCTGCAACTGCTGTCATTGTTCACACAGTTTGGTGCCCAGTTGTTTATGAAGGCTACAAATTGTCTATAAACTTGGATAAATTACACAAAGATATTGTCATCATCCATGTTAAAAATTGGCATGTTACTAGTCTTACTATGGTTTGGAAGTTGAGTAGTGGATAATAGTTTAAAAAATACATGTCCGCTAAGAGTTACGTCCTTTTAAGTGCAAGTCGGTGTTTTATAAACATTGAAAATGTAGTCTTTCATAACTTTGATTGTGATCAAAAAATCATGCGAAGTCTAATGTTCCTTTTTTATGGAGGAGGTAATATTCAATTTTCACAACATTCATTACTTAATTTATTATAAATATATGTAGGCATGTGCTTTGTTATGTTTCAGTATTGCATGAGGAGTCTGACATGTGAAATAAGTTTTGAAGAGATATGGTGTGGCAATGGTTGCTGAGCAATAATATAACATCTGTGGTGACAGGGTCTTCGTACAACATGGTTGTTCATGTTCATTATGTGAGGTACTATAGGTGGTCTTGTGAACCGCATTGTTACATGTGTCACTAGTTGTTATTCAATGCATCTTTTAGGTATGTTTCATAATAAATGAATTATTATGGACATTGACTGCTTCTTTTTGTTTTTTTTTATAGTTTTTCAGGGGAAATTATTTGTAATTAGCACCCATGGGACAGCTCACCAAATTGGGGCCTAAGTAAACTCAGCACCTTACCTGTGCTATATTTTTACAGACAAATTTTCAGGAAAATAATTATGTGGGATGAAAAGAAGAGATTAAAACTTCCACCATTTCCGAGTCTCCTTAAGTTTTCAAATAATTTTTGTGTTACGCCTTCAGTAATTGTTTGAATCCTCTGCAGAATCCTGTGCCCTGCAGTTCTAATTAATTATTCTTACAAAAATTAAAAGTACAATGGTTTTAATTTTAATTTAAATTTTAATTATTTTTCAGCTTAAAATGACCTGTAAGACTATGTCATGCCATACCTCCATCTTATTTTCAAAGTGTGCACAAAATGAAATAATATAATTTAACCCTTAAATATCTCAAGATCTTTTATTCATCATACACTATTGTCTTCATGTATATTTCAAAGTCACTATACACATATGAAAACAAGGAGCCACAACTCGGCTTCCATTATACATTACAAATCTTTTAAATTATGAAGTCTTTTAGTATAAAAAATACAATACACTTCATGTGGTTCTTCGTCTACTATTTACAACACATTTCCAAGTTAAAAACTTCTACAGGATGAAGTATAGAAGTATGTAGAAAGGCTACACTTTCTGTAATTAAGATAATAGCCTTGTTTAAGGAAATTCATAAAAGAAAAGGATGTAATATACCAAAAAAACAGCCCAATTTCTGGATTCAATACAAAAAATTTATGATTAGAAGAACAACTCTGACCAACTTAAAACACTTACAAAGAAGAACCACATAATACTCTAGTTCCTATTGCATGTATTACCAGCCAAAATTCAGATGATAGCAGTTTTTAGTTACACATTTCCACTTGGGACTGTCTTCAGTTTTCCGTTTGAAATTTTGAAAACATAATTTCAAAGCAAGGACTATATTACAGGTAAATCCCTTCCCCCATTCAGCAGTATGTCTGATAACGAGAGTTTAAAGTTGGACATGCACCACTTCAAATCTTCTTCAAAGACAGTTCATAACCCTGCTGGGCTGTTGTGTCTTCCACTCTGCCATTAGAAATGTGCATACTAATACTGCTCCTCTACTGTGTCTTGGGCACGGCTCCCATTCTAGATGGATCTTGAGAAGGATAATGGATAACAGCACTGGAGACGGCAGGGGCCTGCTGGAGTTGCCCGGGGGGTGGTCCCAACCCCGGGGGTGGCATGTGAGCCGGGTGCCTGGGCATAAACATTGGGGGCCTCATCATGGGTGGGGGTCTGACAGGTAACATCCCTGGGGGTGGGGGCGGCATGCGGACACCTGGAGGGAAAATTAAATGTGAACTGGCAATTATACAGACACCAAACAGAATTTTTAAAATAAAACATTACAACAATATTTACACAAATAAATAAAAAACAAGATAAATAACTTTTGTTAAATGATCTGATCATGCCAGTTTTTTTGAAAGAAACTGGTATTTTACCAACTGAAGTCACTCTGCCAATTTGAAGATAAACAAAAATGGATGGCAATGGTATCAGCAGCGGCTACAACACATAATGATACAGTGTCATAGAATGTTTTTTCAATGTTTGTTCATAAAAAAATGAAATCAAATTCAAGTTGAAGTGTCCAAAAGGCAATGAGATGTTCAATAGAACTAGCAGAAATATTTCTCAAACAACTTGAGCTGGAAGTTCATGCTTTGTGGTTTTCGTAAGTCCACTAGAAAAATCAGTTTTCTTCCAAGGCAGTGGAGATGGACCTTTCTCCTTTTAAACCCATGAAGAATGTCTAAGAAATTTAAAGGTACGTACGAACCGAGCATCGGTGGAGTGTGGATTCCCAGTAACACATGGAAACCACTTGTACTAGATCCTTATGTGACTCAAATAAATTCGACATGCGAAGGGATAAACTGAATAGATCACTCGATCTGCCATAAAAGACCTTTAGACTGCTCCTTTCCTTAAATTTTTGGTTGTAAATTTAACCTACTTCCATGACCTACTTTCCTGTCCCATTGACATACAGCTTAGAATGCCAGCAGAAAAATCTGTTCAAACATCATTTTCGGGTAAAATTAAACAATGCCTTTTGGTAATTCTCTTAGTTATACTACTTGAAACTATATGCTGGCATTTGGTTGGTTTTTGTGACAAAAAATCGACTTTGTATGCATCTTTAAAGACATTCCACAGTAAGTGGTACTGACATGGAAAAACGAATATCTGACATAATGCTTCCTTAGGCAAATTATGTGGTAAATAGTATAATAAATCAAAGCCCTGTTCACTTACCAGGTGGGGGTGGAGGCATTCCCCTGGGGGGTCCACCAGATGGAGGTCCCCTTGGTGGAGGACCTCTGGGTCCCATAGATCTTGGGGGCATTGGCAGAGACATAGGGGGTGGTTGATTCAAATTAAAATAGTTGTTGGACAACTCCTCTCCAGGCATTGGCAGAGCTAAAAGGGAATTTTAATTAAAACATTCATTCACCTTTTCATAAATCTTTAATTTTATCATTTTTACTACTTTTTTTTTTCAAATGGAGAATAAACTAAATAATAAAGATTTTTCATAAAACTGTTTTTTTTTCACTTAAGAATTAAATTCTATAGTACAAATGGCTTAAGATATTGACTTCTATATGTAAAAGATCCCTGCATCCTAGGCGTCTGCATTCAAATGCATCAAACAATAATAACTTATCTTATAAATGAACCTCAAATTTAAAATAAAATAATAATTTAAAGAAAATAAAGCTGGTCAGAAGTTGTAACCAATCTATAAAATGAGCCTCAAACTTTTAGAATAAATAAATAAATAAATAAATAAATAAATAAATAAATAAATAAATACTTGACAAATTTCCCATTCCAACCTACCCCCAGGTAGTCCTGGTACAGGCTCCAGCATCTGTCCTCCCATCTCTCCCTCTTGCCTCGGCACCAGCTGTTGACCCTGAGATTTCCCCCACTTTATTGTTAACCGCCTGCCGTTAATGATGAGTTTGTTAAAGGTGCTCTCTGCTGCGGCCTCACTGGACTCGCGCTTTGTGAACTGTACAAAGGCACACTGCTGCCTGCTCACCATTGTGACAGAGCGAATCTCACCAAACTGGTAGAAGTGGTCCCTGAGAATAGAAAAAGTTGTTACAACTATGGACTTATGTGAAAAAGCTGAACTTACATATTAAATAACCTAGTCTGAGTGATTGGCCCACAATGATTGCAGCTGACACTCACCAGTGAGAAGGGTTTTGACCCAGAACTATGTTGGCAATTCAAGATAATTTGAACCTTGACTACTATTTTTTTAAATTCTAGCACAACAGTGGATTTAAAAAAACATAGGAGTGTTGGAGGCTGATTAGTTCGACTACATCTACATAACCTTGCATCAGGGCTATTTTCACATCCTACATTTTGACCCTTCTCTTCAACTCAGTCCCCTAAGTTCCCCACAAAGACAGTGGTTAAAAACTTGCAATGTATGAAATGGTGTCTTTGGCAATGTCATTTACAACAAACCCCCCATATTGACAGAGCACAAGAAATATTTTCAAACCTTAAATCTTTCTCTGTGACCTTGTCCCCCAAGTTTCCCACATATAGTGTGGTCACTGATTTGTCCTCTGGTGGCTCTAGTTTAGGCATTGTGGCATATCTCTTGATCAGTTTGTCAGCCACCGGATCATTAACACCATAGAATCTGTCCTTGATGTTCTGGTCAGCCAGAGGGTCATCAGGGTCTGTTGGCTTCTCGTGTCTGGAACAGTATATATTTGAAATGAGTAAATTTGATGTTCAACAAAAAGTGGGAAATTTTTTTCAAGCATTTTCCACCAATACATATAGCTTTGATTACTCTAATGTTAATGTTAATGGCATAGAATGGTAAATGCTATTTTGATTCTGTTGCATTTGTCACTTAAGAGGGAGAATCACAGTAACAAAGTAAATGAAAAAATAAATGATGAAAAGTAAATGTAATCAAAAAAATTAAACTAAAAAACCTTAGATGTACAATAAAATCAAAATAAATATATAAGCAATCAAACATTAACCTATTTATAAGGATGCTTGTATCTGAATGTTAAAATTAATAAATCAATAAGAAAAAAAAAAAACAGGATCTCCAAATCTATTTTCAATCACAATATAGTCACATAATGATACTGAAAAAAAAAATGTAGTATCACCTGTATGGGCACTCCTCTCCTCTCTTGCACTCCCCTTTCACCCAGAAGGAGCAGATATGAGGCCTGTTACGTTTGTAGTAGGGCGTGGTCCTGGCCAGTTTGAGCAACATGTCACTGGGGCTCTGTGACTTCCCCAGGGCACCATAGGCCAGAGAACTGTCCGAGTTTGCTAACTGTATGGATTAAGAGATGATCTGAGTGTAAATCGTTATTTGTAATGAAGATAATGATAGAATTAAGAATTTTGATGTTTTTTATAATATATTTTTATCAATTGAATTGTAATCAAATATGTATAATTACAGCAGGATTCCTCTAGAGGAATTAATTTTATGTCTTAAAAGTTAAATATTGCTTAAAAAACAAGAAGGGCAGAATAATGGAACTATTGATGTAGACAAATTTTTATATTTTCTTTTTATTCATTCACTTTTTGTTATTCATAGTAATTATATTAAATGAAAAATAGGAAATCTGCCCTGTAGGTCTAAGACATTGATAATCTTAGTTTTTTTAAAACTAAAAAAATCTCTACGTAAACTCTTTCATTCTATATGACATATTGGCTACCATACATTCTCAATACAAGAGGTCTGCTGTCCGTTACGAATGGAAACTTACATCTTATGAACCAAAACTTACATCTCTTTCTGCATTTTGTGCAAAGAATTCTTTGTTGACATCAGACTTGGGCATGCTGTCCTGCAATTTTAATGCTGCATCTCTAACCTGGACTGGGAGACCTATAACATAGAATATAGAAACATATTATGTTGCTATAACATAAGACATATGATGTATATCCATCACATTTTACCAGGACAAGAAAATAAGACCCAGACATAGCATATCTAGCAAAAAAAAGCATGACACATTAATGAGCCCTGGCTTTAGTCAAACACAATACTCATCAACAAGGTATACCTGACATCGACTGTATGCTTTGCACTCTATTACATCAGATTTACTTTTTTAACTTGTATTGTACCCATCCTGCGAGACACAAAATCACAAAAATACCTCAAGGCAAACTACCCCAAATAAAAATAAATGGATAAAAGAATGAACATAAAAATGGAATACCCTTCACTTAAAACATTTACTTGTTGAACAAATAAGCCAAAGCATCTTATGAGGAGATATCTTACCATATTCTAAATCCAGTAGGCATGTCTGACATATGTTCTTTAGTTTACTACAAGTTTGGCAAACCTCTGTCTTCTTAAACCTGGCCCCTTTCCCTGGACACCAGCGGAACACTGTGAATGGCCGCACACAGATCTTGCATTCTTTGCCATATTTTTCTTTGGTCTACAATTGAAAACAAATATTATATAAGAACAGAAGGAAAGGAAACAAATTTAATCATGCAGCAAGTTGCCATATATGAATGTAAATGAGACAAAAATAAACAATATATTTTGATATAGGTCACTGGGAGAAGGGGAAGGGAATTGAAACAATTTATATATATAGCAAAGACTAGGTTGTACACTTTCAATAGTGTCATCTTAATGAAATTCTTAATTTGCACTGTAAAAATACAATTATACTCTTAATCCAGAAGAATATTCAGACAACAGTAGTCCATACTCACCATTCTAATGTAAGGGTTATCACCTAGGCATGTTTGACATAAAATAGGGAAATCCTGCAATATAGACAAAATCAAAACATTACTGTTAATACACGTTTATTTGGCAGTTCAATTACTGGCAGTGGCCCATCAAAAACTGGCACAGAAAACAGTCAGTGTCCAAGTTTTTAAGCAATATTTTGGCTATATACAGATCACGATCACTATCACCCTCCCTGCCAACTAAGTGTATACCATGTGTCTAAATTAATGTAATGGAAAACTTTTAAATAAAGCTCAACACACGTACAACACGTGGGTCAAGAACTAGACCTTGAATTTTTTATCTTCTCGCGAAATTAATTCGTTTTCAAGTCATGATTCAAAGACTGGAACTGACGTTGTGCTACACACAGTATAAGGCGTCTTCAACCATAACAGTGCTTTACCACGGGCAAATACCAATGCCACGCTAATCGTGATTCACCAGTACACTACAATTATCAGAAAAAAGGAGTCTAATTTGTTTGATTACATATGAATAATACCAAAATATCACGAACAATACACGACAAAATATACTCCTTTAAATATAGAATTGTGCTGGGTGATTTTCTTAATGATTGTGAGTTAAGACTTACCGCTTCTTCCCAATTTTGTCTATTATACGTATTTGCACTCTTCGACAGCGCCATCTTGTTTATGAACGAACGATATACTTCCGGTGAGAATAATTCCGGTGAGAAATTTAATTTTATTGTTCGAAATTCATTTAGCAAAAATATTGCGTTTTTACAAAAATAAAACAATAAATGAAAAAGACAATTAAAAAAAGATTTAACGAACAACGATTCATCGCGGATAACATGTAACGAAGACGAACAAGTCGACGGACGGGGAAGATGCGCTAGTAGAGACAGGTGCGACAGGTGTGCATATAATACATAGGAGAAAGGGAGTGCATCTCTTAAGTGTTAAGTTAGCTGATTTGGGATAACCTTTGTTCATATTCACAATTTTTTTTCAGAACTACAACTGATATCAGAGTCATTTGCCTTCCATTAATTTGGCGCTTATCAGTGCATTAGCCGCGTTCTCCAGGGTCTACAATTAACGAAGAACTAGGCCTATTACATTCAGCCCCACTATCTTCGTTCAGTTTTGCATTTCTCACGAGTATGCGATTATTGTCTTTTTGTTGTTCCTTTTTATCTTAAATTTAGTCAGCTTTGTTAACAACTTTGATAAAAGACTTGAAATTGGCAGAATATAGGATAGTAATCGTTTAAAATATTTTTAAAACGTCACTTTTTAAAAAGATAAGCCCTAAAATATAGGGCTTTCAAAAAAATAAAGCAAACAATTATAGTCGGAACCAAAAAAGTAAATAAGGAAATAAAATAAAATAAGGAAATAATAAAATAATAATAATAATAATAATAATAATAATAATAATAATAATACCAGGAAGCCCAACTGTCCGAGAGCTGCAGAAAATAACCTAATCTTGCTTGGTAGTGCGCATATCATCAGAAAGACGCTATATCCATCTCATGAACACTAAAATCACCTCAGAGTCATGGTATGACTCCGGCATCTTAGTAATTATCAAAGGTTACAAGAATCATCACATAATAATAATAATAATAATAATAATAATAATATACACCCTGTGAACCCTACCCCATTACCTTGAGGGGGGGGGGGGTGAATGCTCAATTGAACGTTGGGGGTTTTGAATGATTTTAATAATAGGCTTAATGTATGCTAAACCATTACTTGATAAAAATAATATGAGTCGCCCATGAAGCTATTAACACACAGCACCAGTTGGTGGTATCTTACAAAGAGAATAATTTTTAAATGTGTCAGTTAAGGGGGTTCCTTTGATACATATTGGATTTTGGACCCATCATACGATGTATGGGCCTACGATGTATATGTATAATAAGTCTGCGATTGGACCTGGGATTGGAGATTGAAGTAGGTTTGCGACAAACCGTACACTCGGCGATGATAATATTGGTCACAAAAGCGTAATGTAAAAAAAATTCTCCGTTGTTTTTTGTGTTTTTTTTCTCCCCCCCCCCCTCCACTAAAACGAATTTATTATCTAGCTCTTACTGGCACACCCGTGGTGTAAATACAGTTGACCTAGAGACCCAGGGTCTTGGCCAGTTTATGATTTTAATTAGTAAACCATAAACACTGGATCCAGGTATCCTACTTGAGACAAATAGGTTATCTGTATATGCTTATACTTAAGTGATTAATAGGAGCGTCTCAACATTAGAAAAATGGGTTGTCGATATTTTAGTTCTCAAAGTCCATATCATGTACCTTTTTGTACCTCCTCTTATCCACAATAAAAAATAGACCGAAAAACAATGGGCCGGGTATTAATTTACACGATATAGCGATATACAAACTGCTGTTGTCAATCCCGAATATCAATGCTTGAATGAGATGGTATTTGATATATTATATTTTGCATAAAATAAGAAAATGTTTCCCTCCCCTTCTTTCTTTCTTCTTATGTTTAATGGGAAAAGACAATGAAAACAACACAAATCTTTATATGCTGGTTCTTCCTCAGTACTTCATTCAAATTCTTTAATTGGAACGAATTGCTATTGTCTTCCAGACATGGAGAATCAGCTGGCTCTGATAATGTCGCTGTCAGTAATACACAGGTACATTTAGTTTATAATTAAAAGTTCAATGGAATAAGATAGGTTGCAAAGAACCTCAAGTCTATTTATTATTATTATTATTATTATTATTATTATTATTATTATTATTATTATTATTTGATAATTAAAGGGAAATGAAAAGGAAAGAAGACTGTTGTAGAAATTAACTTTAAGTATGAAATAAGAGACCTAAAAGTATATCGTTTTCTCTATACTTAGAGCACAAAATTGTTTTCATTCATAGGCGAAGACTGACATGTATATTGCCACGCCCGTGTGAATCCTTCGCAACTGGGGACAATGTTTAAAATTGTGACCATGTCATATCACTATGTTTACTGCTTCTTACTTATCAATATCAATATACGCAAGACACCAAGCTTTTGATTTGTAACTGTGTTAGTTTGATATGATACTCAATTATAACTCATCAGCTATTTTAACGTAAACAGCCACGCCTGGTCAGAAGGGCACGCCCGTCTCATCCCCTTATCTTGTTTAAGATGTTTGAACATTACGGCGTTGTCCCCCGGCCCTGCCCCGCGACTGTTAACTTAGTGTAAGAACCCTGTCACGAAGGACCCTGTCAACTTATTGGCTGAGAGGATTTCTTCACTATTATCAAGTAGCGGGTCGTGCATGTCGGCACGTATGATGATGATTACGAAATGAAATATTCGGTATTTGTTTCATATTGGTGATTTCGCAGGTCTTTCTGCATGTAAGCCCCATTCTAAGCACCTCTCCTTTATTTTTTTTTGGCAAAGACACTGCTAACTTAGCGCAGGTCTTATGCAAAGAAAAAATGAGCGACAAATAGTTACTTTTACTATAATTATCAGATGTCTTGTAATCAAAAAAAGTTATACATGTCCAGTAAAAGATTTCATTTTGAAGGTAACCAAAACAAAATGGATAGATATAACCATAAAGAAAACAGTTTCCTCTTGATGAAATGTCTTATTAATTAAATTAATGTCACCATAATCCGTCTTTGCTTTTCCGTGGGAAAATCATACAAGACTGCATGTATTCGTTTTACTTAAACACAAACTGCAATAGATGAACATTATTTGAGTATCTCGTTGTTTTGACCTGTTTTTGTTTACGCTAAAATGTCAACCACCCTACCCCCACCTCAGAATAGAAAAAGCTTTTGACGATTCCAGCAAAAAAAAAAAAAAAAGGATTAGAGGAACAAATCGGCAAAATGTAATTTTTATTATACATGTAGTCGCGGCCATATTCACCACAACTTGCACCGCTGATACAAATTGTTGTGAAGTCCGAGTCTCCTTTGGAACGAACAAAGAAGAGACTGCAGTTTGCCCTATCACGCCACCTCGTATCTGACCATTATCTTAACAGAGATTAAATTTTAAATATTGTCTGTGATTGTCAGAGGTGACATGGCGACCCTGAACGACTTCAAGAAGGTTGTTGATTTTTGAATGGATGATAGAGTGATATACATTTTTTTTAAGATAACGATATGGCATAACATATGTCGTTTTGATAAGGAGCACTTCTTATAAAATCAAAAAAGTGTTTGTCTTCATAATTAAAAAAATACTTGAAATCTACAAAGAGGCCATTTGCAAAATCTGTACTTTGCATATCGGACAAACGTAAACAAAATGCCATGCACTATCAAAACGGCATTGATATGGGTCTATCTATCTATCTATTTGGACAATGTGGATGAACTCTTGAATGGATTAAATGCAATTACACCAAAAAGTTGCTATATGAATTTATCATGACCATTTGATATGAGAGAGAGAGAGAGAGAGAGAGAGAGCTTAACAGAGGCGTGGTTCACGCTCTGCTTTTGTCTGCCCGTGTTTAATTTACACGTTAATCTCCAAATTTGCATTCTTGTGGTTTGTTACACCTATTCCAGAATATTTCAGGGTGTATTAATTAATCCATAGTGGAGGTGGTCCGGAGGGGGGGGGGGGGGATTACTTCACACCAATAATACATATATTAGTAGGCCTACTAGATACTGTTTGTTACAATTAAGATTTGAAACAAACGATCAGTTTTTGGAGGTTATTAATTCCGTCCATAACTTCCCCCCTATTTTCTTGTTTGTGACAAAAACAGGAAAAAATGGCAAACTGGCTGTTTACAATATATTTACTATGCAATATTCAAGAACGACTTTTAACACGCACATAAGTTGTTTAAGTATAAACTTGAGTTACGTGAACATGAACTGCGTCAAGAAGTAAATACAAATCGTGAAGTCACGGAGAAATAAAATACGATGCTTTAACATGAACAACTTCGTATATAATTTAAATTGCACAAGCAGAACATACGGTACCGGTGTGGCGTGACAGACCCGTGCCGTGACGAAACCGTTCTGCACATGCGCATTGAGGGTAGATTGAAAGAAGTAACTTCCGGTATGACGATGTCGTCCTAAGTAGGCGCTATGTTTGCACTGAACTATGATTTTCCAATTCATAATTCAGTGGTTTTCGTCATGACATAGTATGTATTTGATAATCTTATTACTGCAGTATACGGGGGAATGTTGGAAGTGAGCTTTTGATCGTGACTGAACTGTTTTGCTCTGTGTAAAAAACGTGGCAGAGCTAAGACTCGTAGTATAAATCTTTTCACTCTACAATGTTCTTTCAATTCAGAGTTCAGTCATTTTCATTAAAAAGAAATTGTGTGTTTGATAATACTACAACTTTCTCTACGGGGAAATGTTGGAAATGCATGTGCAGCTACGTACTGTAAGTCAACAGACTGCTACCCCCGAGTGAATAATCCGTCAGAACGGTTTATTCACGACGACGGTTTCTTCACGTGACACCGGTATTCAGACAACCCTATAAAGTGTGAAATACACATGCAATCTATAAGAAAACGAACCTGTTGAGTAAATATGCATTTGTACATCATTTTTGAATGTTTAGAGAAACATATAACGGGCTGTAGTTTTATTATTATTTTCATGTATATCTCTGAATATACAAGGGGAGTGGTGGCAGGTGTATCACCACATTATTACCTTCTGAACACGATCGATTCCACAAAGTAACTTTAAACCGAAAGTTGATCTCAAATTTCAGACTATTAATTTTATTAAATTTGACCCAAGTTAAGACAGTAGCAGTCTACATAGATGAAATATTATGTCTCTTGTGAAAAAAGGGAAGAAATTACTAATATTTAAGACCAACAAAACATTATTTCAGTAGAAAATTTTTTCGGCCTTGAAGTTTAGCCAACTTTCGGTCTAAAGTTCTTATGAAAGCGCCCCGTGGCTTGCATGATCGGTCCTCATAACAACGTAACAGTATGCAATATGAATCAAGTGGGAGCAAAGTTAGCATGACCTTACAGATAGACATCGCGATTGTTTTTAACCCATTTACAAGGGTTGTTTGTTATTGAGAGAAGACACATAGAGAGAACCATTATTTAAGTAGTTTGTGAAGATATTTATATCATTTTATGTATATGTAGATACATAAACGACATTAATTCTGGGTGTATGTTTTATTCTGGTTTTATGGAAATGAGAGGCAACACGGTGTATGTCACATGCGATGAATTTCAATCAGTATTCGTTCAATGACAAAATATCTCAATTCAGACATAAGACACGAATGTCTAGGATAAATGTGTTGAATTTATTACTAATATTACAGATGTGTAACTAAAAGAAACATTGTTTGGTAAGAAACATTATTTGGTAGATAAATAATCTCTCTCTCTCTCTCTCAAATTCTCTCTCTCTCTCTCTCTCTCTCTCTCTCTTCGTTGTGCCCCCATTTTCTTAGAACATAAGAGTTGAATATCAGTTTTCGAAGAAAAAGGGGTTGAGTGCACCGTCACCCGAGTCACACTCCCCTATTTTGTTCAAGCAATGCTGTCATCAAACGCAAACATGCCGATTACGACAGTGTCAACACGACCCATGATGTCGCAACGCTATCAACACCCTAAAACAAACACAGGAAGGACGGGTTTCCGTTGCTGCCCTAGCAATGTAGAGACGAATGTCGCCCGTATTGATATTGATTAGAATGGCTGAAATATTTTTTTTATATTCGTGGTTAAGACAGAAAGGATACTATTCAGAAATTTTCTTAATGTTGTTATTTTAATTTCGGGAAAAAAGTGAAGACTGGGACAAAAGGAGAGTACACATTGTTTGGGGGTCAATTTACTCGATTTAATCAGTGAACGCTTTGCGGTTGCCCGGAATTGAGGAAGAATTAGATATAGACTTAATTTTATGATATAACAATCCAGCTTATTGCTGTCTTATTATTACTAGTTTCTTTAATTTACTCCCCCTGATCACCGTCTTTTGCTTAAGTTAGAAATATGACATCCTTAAGCTTGATAATAAATTTTACAATCTTTTCTCTTCAAAAAAAAAAAAAAAAAAACCTCTTTCCTTTGCTTAATGTTGGCAAGATAAAAATTAACCGCCTAATACCAGGAATGTGAATAGTATCATCACATAAATATGTGAACACTTGGGCAGGACTTAAAAGCGAACCATTCTACCCGCTACAGGGCATAAATAACATTATTGCGTGCGAGACGTTAACGTTATGAATATCGTTCAAAGACAACACGTTGAACAGGTAAAGGTCGACTAGCTACAACGTACTTTTCAAAAAAAGAAAACAATTCACTTGACTGTTTTATCCCTGAATTAAGTGGGAATATCACATCGGAAGAGAAATGGGAGGTGCAATGAGCTAGTCTTATGAGTAACGTCAGATGTCAGGCGAGGTTGGTAATCACCGGGCTTGGCCATAGATAGGTCAACAAATAGAATGGAAAACTGATAAAGGGGGGCACTCCGTTGATCCACTCTGTAAGATAGTAGGAATGTCATTGTGAGTGCAACAGGTATAAAGCAAACTGATCCATTCTGAGAAGACTTCTACGAGAGTGGTACAAAAAGCGGCGAGATAGTGAGGCAAATTTTTTTGCCAAAAATAATATATTTTTACCTGAAATAAGACAAGTCGGTTTTAACATGGATCTCAGTTGCAGAAGAGTTTAAGTAAAGCCTGTTTATCCAAACTTCAGACACACATACGGTGACAAACTTAGGGAATAAGAAACTATATTTTGTTTCATTTCTAACTGGATTGCACGTGATAAGGACGCACTAAGCACGGCGTTATCATACAAAAAGAAGGAAATATCCAACGATCTAGCTGCAGAACTTTAGGAAAAATGGCATTTAAATGGTTGTTACTTTTCGTTTGCTGGCTGGAGGTAGGTGATTTTTTTCCATTTTTTCTTCTAAAACTATTATTACTGAAATGTGAATGTGTGTTTTTAATTACAAGTACATATTATCGTGCAAAGCAGAAGATTCTCTTTCACGTCGCCTTTAGTCGTGTCTCGATTTGGGTTTACAGGAAATAAGTGTGTTGTAGATTTCCATATTACTAACAAGATAATGTTTGAAAGGAATTCCACCAACCCAAACAGCAGCTCACACAGCATGTGCATGCATGCGTGCGTTCGAGCGAAAGCAGGCATTTAAATAAGTTAATCATGAATGGATCTTTCAAAACTCATGTGTGTGACATTTAGAAATGTTCATCTTTTACTCTAACTGTTTAAACGTGTTATTCATAAATATGGCACTTATTTCTTTTCACAAATGTACGTCTCTTTATACACATTGTATCGATGAAATGGTAGTTTAGTCTTATATTGTAGATGCTAAATAAAACAAAAATTACTTTTTTCAACGATGGTACTTACCTTTGATTTTCCAGTTAAATGTAGAATAAGATGATGCATTGTGCAACTGTTTTCAATACAGTATTATTCTTTGCATTGCTGATCGTGAGTCAGGTGTCCTTGTTGGAAACTAAACGCAGATAATTACTTTTTTCTCTATTATTACACATCGAATAGTATCCTGTTCAGTTATTTGGCATAACCGTATAGAAAGATACACTTTATTCTTTAAATATCTTCTTAATTTTTTAGTTGTTAACGACTGTTGGCGCTACTGGTAAGATAGCAGTGCAGCTGCTTACCTTCAAGAATCAAAATTATAAAGGTGCGAATGGACGGTGCTGCGACAGTGTTCTGACATTCTGGTGCAATGTGGACCCCTGTGATACGGCGTTTAAGTTGTGCTTTGACGGCAGCAGTGGGTAGGTTTTGGAGTAAAATGATAAATAAGTTATTCTGACAAAAGTCTACATTCCCTACCATTCTATAATTATATATTGCTTATTGATTTTGATAAGCTAAAAAGAGTGATAGTAATTTTAAAAGTTGATTGTTGATTTCTGAACCAATAACTTACATTTTACATTAAGTTAAACAGAATTAACAATAACAGGAAAAAAGAACGAATATTGATGAATGCTGCCAAAGAGCTGACCACTCTAGGGGTTAACCATCGAGATAGAATATATAGGTCTGACTGACAAAGGTTGAATCGTCTTTGTTTTGTTTGTTTTATTATAATTTACGTTTAATTGCCTCTTCTCATTTACGATACGTATGAGTCACGTTCTTGTTGCTGTGCGTATGGGTAACGACCCTACAATACTGCTGAATAACGTTGTTACATGTAGCATCTTGTTAAAAAGCGACAAACTTATATTGTTTAAATACTATTTCATGTCAACTAAATTGAAATTAAGGATAAAAGCGGAGACATAAGAATGAATATCGATTGATGAGCACAACCATGAAAACCAGCGACTTAGTATTACTAAATACATTTGGCTACTCGCAAGCTATCAAATCAGGAGTAATTTTGCCTTGTTGCAACAAACCATCCTTCGTTTTCTTTCGGCGTGAACATAATTAAATCCGACTGAGATTGCAGTTTTTTTCCAAGTGAAAAACAGATTAGAATATACAAATTTTGTATTATATTAATTCTAGATCTAATTCCATGGATTCATGTGCTTACGGATCCTTTGGGTATCGGGGAGATTTAAAGAGCAATGACATAAATTTTAGAAATGAAAATGGATTCAAAGATCCTTTTGTTGCAGATATTACCTCATGGCCGGTAAGTGTACTCACTTAATTCTTGAAAGATTGCATGTTTAGTAGTACAGCTTGAGAGAAATGTCTCTTGTAAAACAGTTCCTTAGTTCAGTAAACAACATGTATACAGAGGAAACCATACAGCATATCTATTAATGCCATATAAACTGATATGATATACTCTGCAAGACGACATTAAGAAAGTCACGGAGCTACATTTGTCTATGAAAAGCTATATTGCTTTTTTATTTAATATAAATACATTCATTTTTGCAAATGAAATGTGCCATTTTAGGGGTCTTTCAAATTAAAAGTGGATGTAAAGGATTTAGATGGAGGCCCATCCGGAGGCGACGACCCTATTGACTTCTTGCAGACGACCATCACAACAGCCGCCGCCCCCAGTGAGAACGCTGCATCCTGGACCTCGGTGTCCTTGCAGGGAACTAGAGGGACAGAACCCACGTCGTATGTCAATATAATTCTTGGTATTTTTAAATAAATGTCATAATTATTAAGATATACCCTCACCAGGCACATAGTCTTTGTTTTAAAACATTTAAGCACAACTATATATATATATATATATATATATATATATATATATATATCTTATGTTTTATCGATTCAGTTCAAAAATAAAACCTTCAAATCACATGCTTACCTTATCATCTAGTAACAAGCATTTGATATGTGTCTGTTAAGTAATCAGTTTTATTTTACCTTTTGTCGCCTTTTTTGCAACGGCATAATGATAATTTCTGCGTTCTTCTTTGCAATAGGGTTACACTGCAGGTCAAAGTTTACTGTGATCCAGGTAAGATTGTGAAGATGCACCGAGGCGGCAATGAGCCAATAAAAATATCATAACTTAGAAATTTATTAACTTTAATTCAATATCTATGTTGTAAAAAAGTAAAAGAACAGAGTAAACATTCATTCAAATAATCATTTTTGGTCACATTCTCATAGAATTTTAAAAGTTCTTTTTCAACAATTTACTAAAATACACATTAAACTGAGAATAAAAACAATGTAGTAAAGATATTAGAGCACTTATGTTACATCGAAATCAAAGCATGCTTTAAAACTCCAGTATCAAGTACATTTAAAAATACCCAAAATATCTTTTGCTATATCTACTTATAGGATACACAGGGGCAGATTGTGCCACTAACATAAACGAATGTGCCAGCAACCCTTGTAATAATGGTGGAACATGTCAAGACAACATTAACTTCTACACGTGTCAGTGTCCCCCCGGATACACGGGAGTTAACTGCGAGACCAACATTAATGAATGTGCCAGCGGTCCCTGTCAGAACGGCGCCACTTGTCTGGATGGGGTGAATGCCTACACGTGCCAGTGTGCCCCTGGTTATACCGGAGTTCTCTGCCAGGTTAACATTGATGAATGTGCCAGCAGTCCGTGTCAGAATAATGCCACGTGTCAGGACGGCATCAATGGATTCACATGTGACTGTCCCGGGGGATACACGGGGACCCTGTGTGAAACTGATATCAATGAATGTGACAGCAACCCGTGTGTTAACAGTGGGACTTGTCAGGATGAAATAAACGCGTTTACATGTCAGTGTCCCAGTGGTTTCACCGGGACAATTTGTGAAACGAACATTGACGACTGTGCTGTCGATCTTTGCTATAATAACGCCACGTGTGTGGACGGCGTTGACTCCTATCAGTGTCAGTGTATGGCAGGATTCACAGGCACACAGTGCCAGACGGACATTGACGACTGTCTCAACGCCACATGCCAAAATAACGCCACATGCCAGGATGGCATAAATGGGTTCAGCTGCGTTTGTAGCGATGGATACACAGGGCAGCTCTGTGAGTCTGATATTGATGAATGTGGCAGTAACCCATGTCAGAACAATGGAACGTGCCAGGATTTTATCAATATGTACACCTGTAATTGCTCAACCGGATTTACAGGTACACATTGTGAAACAAACATCGATGATTGTGTTAATAATACCTGTAAAAATGGTGCCACTTGTGTAGACGGAATCACCAACTTCACATGTCAGTGTCCACCAGGTTATACGGGACAATCTTGTGAAACCAACATCGATGATTGTGTTAATAATACCTGTAAAAATGGTGCCACTTGTGTAGACGGAATCACCAACTTCACCTGTCAGTGTCCACCAGGTTATACGGGGCAGCTTTGTTATACGCCTTTAACGACAGAATCGACGGCGACAACCGAAAAGCCTCACTCAGTAACGACTGTAGTCACTACGGAAACATTTGCCGTTGACACAGTTACAGAGGACAAATCTGTTTACACAACCAGTGTTCCAACAGATCCTGCGTCAACAGCAACTTTACCAACACCGATATTAACTATGGAGACAGTGACATCGACAGGGATGACAGAGACGACAGCAGTTATGTCAGTTAATGCCACAGAACGCACATCTAAATCACAAGCAACTGGATCGCCACAGACGACTTTGGCTGCGCCACCTGAAACCACTGGCACCATATCTGCAGCAGCAATGACCACGGGATCTGCCACTTCAACATCATCAAAGAGACAAACAACAAAAAAACCAATTGCGATAACGGAATCATTGACAACAGAAAGAGAGACGACAGAAATACCAAAGGGCGCTGATACCACTATTACAACGGGTAAAACACAACCGTTGAACACGTCACCAACCATTACAGATGTTAGGACGTCAGAAACACCAACAAAAGGAAAAAGCTCTACGGCAGCTAGTGTACAAACAACAACATCGCCATCCGTCATCAGTACCAGTTCTACGACGTCAGGCAAACCAACAAAAACATACAATACTGCCGGAATGACAGCCGGAATGACCACTGAAAGTCCTTCAACAACTGCAAGTGCCAAATCACAAACAACAACAACATCACTTAAGGTCACTGATCCGGTGACTTCAAAAGCGCTGCCCACCTCCACAGTGATCGTGACGACACCAAAGAGCCAAGAAACTACCCAAGCACTTCCTAGTAGGTGTTTTAAAATGCTCGTGAATATTTCTTCTACATTTTTCTCCGACAAAATTCACTTTAAAACACCAAGTAACAAATGTGGAAATCTCACTTAATTGTGTTGATTTTTTATATAGCTTCATTTTGTTCTTGCTAAATGCAGATTATGTTTGTTAAGTGCATGATATACCTACGCACTTTTTTATCATGATGAAATAACAATAGTTGCTTTTATTGCAGGTACTGTGATATTCCTTACTGGGGAAGTTACAGATACCAATAGTGCCGGCGTGCAAGATGCAATCAAGAAACTTATTGCCTCCACTCAGCTGGGCAACGGCAACAACGTGGACGTTACTTTTGAGACGAGCCCCTTTGTCACCGCAATAGGGTAAATCGCTTATTTATTTATTTATTTATTTATTTATTTATTTATTTATTCCAAACTAAATGTCTGTGTTAATCGTTTTCGTTACGTGAAGATTTTTCTTAGCTATATGTGCATGACATATCATAAAGTAATACGACTTTCTAGTGTAAAACAAAAACGATAATTACAGCTATGGTGTTAACCGTCTCGGGTACGCAAAATTCACATTTTATTTGCCTGATATGAAATAATTTGTCGAATCATTCAAATTGGTGTATATTTTCCTAAAATACCAGAGGGACATGAGATATGTTTCCATTTTACAGAGAGAAAGTGACCAGACTGTCCTATCAAGTGACCATAAACGGACGACAGGTGTCTTCGAGCGAGGTCGGAGCTGCTTTGCAGGATAAGTCAGCGGAAGAGATACGTGCAGAGATAAACAACGACCTGCCTGCCGGCTTAACGGTGTATAACGGGGACAACTCCACACTTAATGCCGTTAATCCTGATGTCACGTCTACATCACCGCCGGTAAGAGACATCTGTGAAAGTGCAGTAACAAATACCAGTGTAGAAATCTTATGAAAGGATAATGCATAAATGTTATTTCTTGTTTATTTACCTTTTAAAAGTTTTAAATGGGGGGATCTAGAGGATTGAAGATGAGACGTGTAGCCATGTGTCTTGATCTTTATTTCAGTCGTGGATTGAGGTAAATTGGCCAATAGTTGCTGCCATTGCCGCTGGTGCTCTCCTTGTCCTTATCGCAGTAGTGGCTATTGCTTGTCGGAAACAGAGGTATTTTATTTATGATTTTACAGAATAACTGAAAGTCGGCTATATACAACGTCCAGTGTAAAACAGCAAATGTTCACTTATTTTGCCTGTTTCATTAGTGAGAAATGACTGTTATGTTGGTTTAGACTTTAAGTTACGTTATTTCACTGAACCGCGAGGAGTTTATCCTATTATTGAAGTCTCGAGATAAGGACCAACTCTTAAGCCTCAAGTTCTTTTAATACCTTATTATATATAGGGAAGTTTATTATTATTATTATTATTATTATTATTATTATTATTATTATTACACCGGCCCGAGATTGTGCAAATACAATCAGGTAAATAAGCGGTAAATAATTCTATTATGTCGTATTATTTTATTAAAAAAAGATAACATCGATGAGGCACTGTTAAAATTTGGATTGGCCGGGAAACGGGATGGACTTTTTACAAGTGGCAGTATTTACACAAAGAATTCAGATTTAGCAGCATGATCTTTCTTTCAATTTCAGACGACCACAGAGCGAAAAAGATAATCTTCATCGCATGGGGGATTTTTCGGACACCTCAAATTATTGCCCCAACGGGAAAGCATACGACAACACTGTGTTCATAGAAAATGAAGAGAACACTTTACAGATTCCAAGACCAACTGTAAGAAGTTAACATCTTATGAGGAATTATACCGTCATTATTTTCATCATAACATTCTCATTCGCCTTGATCAACCATTATGATCAGATGCAATTGTTCCATCTATAATGTTGGTCATATTTCAAGAAATATAGCTTTCATTTCTTGCCTCGATGTTGCAAGTACGTGTAAGGTGCCGTAAACAAAAAGATAGATTCCGTCCTGAGGTTATACTAATTGCATGTCAAGGGACAAAGACTCCATTCCCAGAGATTAAATCGATCCAAACTAGATCGACCTAACTCCCTGGGGGTTCACGCTAAATAGCTGTCAGCCGAGCGGGCACGAAAGTTAATTACCCCCTTACAGCTTGTAGTAGGCAGGACGGACATTTAAGCCGGATTTACTGACAGTAATCTAGTGAGACTCCCCACGGGGATATATCGATCTAAAATCTATGGGAATACGCCCAAAGACAACACGAATACATGTAAAGTATTCTTTCGTTGATCTTTTGCTTAAAGGTCATGGTGAGTAATGAGGCAAAATTTTCTAGTTAAATGTGCCTGTAGAAGAACTGTGTCACTTTAATATACAAGGTACAGTTTGTGTGATTTTCTTAAAAATACGTTGAGATCTTAAGCGATGTGCCAGTTCTAACGAATCTTCAGCTTTTGATACACAGGCCATTTCTAAAGTTAGAGTAAGGGAAGTTGTGTATTATTTGTATTTTTCCATTTGGCAGTAAGCCTTTTTAAGATAAAAGTATACTTTTATTTACCACTAACAGGAATATACCATGTCTTATAAACTTTCATTATTTTTACCGATTCTTCTAAAAATGAAGAAAGCAAAAATCAAAAGATTAAATCGTGAGGAAGGGCATCATTTAGGTATTAAAGTAGATAAAAATTATATTCGTGGTTATTTTCAAACGCCCTTCCATCGAGATATCATTAAGAGTGGCGATGCTTTCGCTATACTTATTAAACAGGAACATATGTTAATACTTTTCTATGCCTTTGTGTTCTTACGTTTGTGTTTGTCGACGTGTGTACGCATGCGTCAAATTCCTTATCATCATTTTACAGGAACTTATGCAAGTAGACGTATGCATATTATATATTTCAAGATTTATATAAATAGGTTTATGTTTAAAAGATAAGGGTTCATGTTGCTGTATAAAAGAGGTCAAGTTCATGGTAGAATAATCAAAAGTGTGTTTTATTTGCCTAGATCTTAACGATAATAATTATAGGCCATTTCTGTGCGCGTATGTTTGTGTGAACGCGCGTCAGGGTGTATTTGTATCTGGTTAGTTTGAGTTTTTACACAAAGTTATTGTAATGTATAGGTAATATTTTATCTTTGTTTTTTATCTTGCCATACATAGTCTTTCAAAGGGTAACACATTTATACAGTATAAGTATTATTTATAAGCGAAATAAAAAGACTAAAATAATTCACGTAAATTTGAATTGTTTTCTCTATTCTATGTGTCGCTTATTGAAGCACAATGATAACGACCTTTTATTTGGTTACTTCATGGCAAAAACTGAATGTACCGATGCACTCTTAAATCGGGGCATAAGGAAGCACCTGCAAAATATTTTATGGGCACATTTGGGACGAATAAGGCCCACTGTTTACTGTTTAGCGAGCGAAAAGAGTCGGCGAAAGGGGTCAGCCAGACACTGGTCCCCGGTAAATTAACTCTGATTTTAGAGTCAGATTGACTCCATGAGAGCCAGGGGTGATTGACTCTGATAAGAGACTCTAAAGTAGTGGGGTAATTTGACCCTTATATAGGATTCAAATTAACTCCATGAGGGTCAAGGGGTGCTGGACTCTGACTAAAGAGTCAAATGACAATTTTATTCTCAGTGCCAACATATCTAGTTTATCAGTGCACAAACTACTAAAAAGAGACAAAATGTCAGATTTATCAATCTCCTCAACGAACTTCTGTCTTGAGATTTCAACCCCCTGTTAAGAACCGTTTCAGTAATATAACGCTAGGACTGCTTAATGCTAAAATAACAGCGTTGCAAGCCAACATGGTGACTGTCATAATCAAAGTCGTCGGGGATTGTTTGTTAATGCTTTTTCAGAAATAAAGAAATCCAGCAGTCATTGCAGCTTACCTCAAATTTTTTTCTAAAACATTGTATGTTTATATTTCCTTTTGTACTGTCGTCGTAACTGTCTTAGATGTGGGGCAAGCATAAAGCGCTTACGCATGTGCAGCAGCAGCAGCAGTGACTCTGTTTGAACGAAACAAACTACATAATTAATTACAAATAATAGCCAAGCACGTGAGCTTATGTAAGTGCGAATGTGAGAAGTGAAATATAGCGCTCATTTCAATTATTATTGCATATAAACCGCCAATTTGAAATGAAATTAAATTCGGCGAAAATTTGGACACTATCTGGTTGATCTGGTTGGAAGGTCTGCAGGTGCATGAATTAAAAAATGTTGTTGGCTTAATTTTATTTCTTCTCGAAAAGCAAATGCCAAAATTCCATAGGGCCGTTGAGCCAACAACAATCCATTAACTATCCTGGTTATGGTATTTCACATTAGCACTGAATGTTGCCTACCAAGAGGAACTATACAATAATCAACTTAGGTCCGTCCAAAATACGTTTATATTTAAAATTCAAATAATAACAACTTCATGTTGCTTACACTGATATTTCTTTCTAACACAAAAACATCTTTGTGAAACTCTCCCTCATTCACGGATTGTCCATCAACGAAAGATTCTTCCGCTTTTTCCAAAGACGGTTGATGACGGCGAACCGCTCATCCATAGGTCGTCACTTTCAACTCACACTGTGTGCCGTAGTATCCATTGGTACAGAAGCATTCGTAAGTTCCACCTTTGAGTTGGCAGTAACTGTTATTCTTGCAGGGATTTGGTGTACACGTGGCGGTTTCGCATCGGCTACCTTGGAACCCCTCCCTACACTGGCAAGAGTACGAGTTGGTATTGTCGACGCATTTAGCGCCATTCTTGCATGGATTGAAATAACAAAGGTCGAAATTCTCGCAGTGCGTGCCAAGAAAACCAGGAGCACATTTGCACGTGTAGGAATGCACCCCATCAATGCAGGTCGCACCGTATTTACACGGGTTGCTCGCGCAGTCGTCGATGTTGATTTCACAGTTAGTCCCCTTAAACCCACGTGGGCACTGGCACGTGTAGGAGTTCACACTATCAAAGCAATTTCCACCGTTTAAGCATGGGCCACTGGCACAATCATCTATGGAAACCTCACAGGACGTCCCTGTGTAACCGACTGGGCAGGTGCAATGCTTTTGCCTCTTGGCAGAATTATAGCTACATGTGCCTCCATTTTTGCAATGGTTGACTGCGCACTCGTTGCAGTCAGCCCCTTTCCAACCTAAAACATGCAATATCATGATTATATGATCGTATTGCTATTTTTCATTATCTTAGAATCTCATATTTTTATCGAAACGGATCAAACGTGGTTTAATACTCTATTTTTTTTTTAATTGCAACCAGACACTTTCAACTTGAAAAGTTAGCGTTTATACCGCACCTGGATCACAATACACGGCAAACTCCAGAAGCAATCTTATGAAAAATAAGATAATAAAGTATGTCAACATATTATTAATTCCTTGAGATAAAAACGCTATTCTCTGACAGCGCTTCTAATTTGAAATAAGCAACAATAAAACTTTTAAAAAAGGGTGATACACGTTATGTGAACCGCGTTTTAAGACTAACGAAACAATTTCCAACTCTCTCGGTAACATACATATCAAAGGCATGACAAGAACGGTTTATCGGCTATTTTGATTTGTGTCGTTAAAAATTGAACGTACATACAGCTTATTTGATTTAAAGAACAAAGATTAGAGCTCAAAAACGCACGTCGTGGGTTCTCTTTTTCTGGTTCCTTTAATTAATCGACTGGTCCACGGTGCCGAGCTTTCGCTTGCTGCAGCTTTTGTGATAATGAATGTCCAAAGGTAGTCAACCATGTCACTATCCGCCAAAGAACCGTCTCTATCTATAACACCAATTTTCAGTTTGGAAGAGCCCTATAAGTAAGAAATTGGCAATACAGTTCATTCTAAATAATTTACAAAGTCTTAGGTAAGTGTAATTGTTGTTTATATGCATTGATGGAAGTTATAAAAATTCTATACATGGGAAGAGGATAAAATTTTTCTCTTTTGTAAAGAAGGGCCCCTTTATGCCAGGCAAGTTCGGTAAACGTTATGCACTATGCAATGTTATTTCACCGGCTTGATAGCGAGTTGTCAGGACAAAAATATACTATCATCACGAACTTATATCAGCCACGTTACAAACAAAGATCACTCCTGTTTATTTATCTACTTCTGTGTTATGTACTCACCGGCCATGTCGTGAAACTGGCTTTAAAAGGTTTCGAAAATAAGGAATGGTCACGGAAGGTGATATATCTGTCTGGTATATTCCCTATATAACCAACGGATCCATACGCACAATAGCTGAGTGTATCAAATCTAAAAATATTCAAACAGCATTAAGGGTTCATCTCTCATATTATACCACATTTTAATATAAATAGTTGCTGACCAAAAAAAAAAAAAAATTGCCAGAAACTTTTTACTTTTAAGTACCAACCACGTGATCATTTCGGTGAGTACATCTAGATAGATTCATGTCAGGAATTGAAGTGCTCTTACTAACACATCATAGCAACAGTTAAGCACGCCGATCGGGCACGGCATTAGTAATAGCCGAATTATTAATTAACCATCAAACTTACCCCAGAGCGGTGTCAAAGCACAATTTAAATGCACTATCACATGACTGGGTACACGAAGTCATCCACCTGGTACTTTCGCAACAATAACCGTTAAAGTCGAAATAGTTTTCATTTTTGAACGAAGTTAAGCGTACAGCAATCTTGCCAGTGGCGTCGAGTGTTGTAAAAATCTAGTAATAAAAATCAGGTACCAGATAGAAGTAACTATATATATACATATATATATATATATATATATATATATATATATATATTAGCAGATTTAAGTATCTATGATTGTTCAAGAACACAGCGATTTATAGAAATAGCCCAAGAATAAACGAAATACAGGGAGAGAGGGGAAAGAAAAATAGGATGTTTGCATGAGAGAGAGAGAGAGTTATCAGATTGAATCCTCCAAAAATTACTTACCTTCATGAAAATCACCACGGATAACAGCCAGTAGGTAATCTTTCCCTTCATTTTGCCGCCCACCTACAGTCAACGTTTTGAAGTAAGTATATCGCGAACCGCGATGAACTGTATCTAGATTTACCGTTTGCACTACGGGTCTAGTTCCATCGCCGAATTGTCCGATGTGTATTTTACGTTACGTCTAGAGTGACACGGTATTATCCAATTCGCAGAGAAAAAATGGCCGGGCTTTCCTATAAAGTGACCTTAAATGGACGGCAGTTGTCCTCGAGCGAGGTCAGACCTGCTTTGCAGGATAAGTAAGCAGAAGAGATACACGCAGAGATAAGGAACGACCTGCCTGCCGGCTTAAAGGTGTATAACGGGGGGCAACTCCACACTTAATGCCGTTAATCCTGATGTCACGTCTACATCACCGCCAGTAAGTGACATCTGTGAAAGTGGGGTGACAAAGACATCATCGATGTTGTCAGTTTAACAATCTAATGAAATTGTTTGCACAAATGTTATTTCTTGATTATTGAGACTATCTAAAAGATTAAAGATGGAGCGTGTATCCATATGACTTAATGTTTATTTCAGTCACTGAAAATTGGGACGAACTGGCGATTGCTGTGGTCTTAATTGTAGTACATGTAGTGGCTATTGCTTGGCGGAAATAGAAGTATTTCCTTCATGGCAGCGTCCAAGGGTCAGTTTCAAAAAGCAAATATTGGTTAAATTCACTGGTGGTTATATTTCACAAAAGAACTGAATATTTTCTATCCAAAAATGCAACAATCAACTTCAGGCCCCTTCAGAATACAGCATTCCGATTAAACAGACGCCTATTATATATTTTCTTCATTGTAGGGTTACATGCTCGACGTACTAGTTTCATATAATTTCGTGCAGTGCCTTTATTGCTTTTACATTCATATTTTAATATTATTTTAAAAAGACTGAAATGATAGTAACTTTCTGTTGTCAGGATGCTTGCCTCTAACACAGAAAGAACACACTGAAACTACATAAATCTCTATATTGAGTAGGTCCTATGTTTATGGACTTATGTTTATGGATCGTCCATTCAACGAAGGACCAAAAGTTCTTGCGCTGCCCATTTATCAGCACCGGTTCTCACAAAACTGACCGCAGTACCCACGACGGCAGAGACACTCGTAACTGGAACCAGTTTCGGAAACACAGATTCCTCTGTTGCGACATTGGACATTAGTGCAAGGGTGTAGCTCGGTGCAGTTTTTCCCTAAAATGATAAAAAAAAAAGAAAACGAATATTTTTTTACCGAGAGCCTCAGAGGCTAAATGCGACAATTTTGATAATAATATTATAATATGATAATTATGTTGGCCCTGAAATCCAGTACAGGCAAATATTAATTTCATAGAATTACCATGAGTTTCAGAACGATGCATTTCAGCTTCTTTATTTCAACATCTACCAATGTATACATGCAGGCATATGTGGGTATTTTAAAAAAGAAGCCAGCACCCACGGCAACTGTACCATGGGGTCGGACGAATAACTATTCTAAATTTCTTAGTCAAGATTATGATTTTGCTGCAAAGCTTTGTGTAAAACTGCAGTGCATTAAAAATATTTGACAGGTATTTTTGTAGGTATAATGAAAGTACTTTATATATACTTAAGATAAGTTATCAAACATGTACATATTGATATGGACGTAGTTCCATACCTGTGTACCCCGGCTTGCACCTGCAGTTCTGCGAACACAGGTCGTTTCGGCGGTTCGCTCTTGCATTTGTCCGTCATTTTAAACTCACACTGTGTGCCGTAGTATCCATTGGCACAGAAGCATTCGAAGGTTCCCCCTGTGACGTTGCAGTAACCGTTATTCTTGCAGGGATTTGGAGTACACGTGGCGGTTTCGCACCGGCTACCTTGAAACCCCTCCCTACACTGGCAAGCGTACGAGTTGGTATTGTCGATGCATTTGGCGCCATTTTTGCATGGACTGAAATAACAAACATCGAAGTTCTCACAGTGCCTGCCAAGAAAACCAGGAGCACATTTGCACGTGTAAGAATGCACCCCATCCTTGCAGGTTGCGCCGTATTTACACGGGCTGCTCGCGCAGTCGTCGATGTTGATTTCACAGTTAGTCCCCTTAAACCCACGTGGGCACTGGCACGTGTAGGAGTACACACTATCAAAGCAATTTCCGCCGTTTAAGCATGGGCCGCGGCACAATCATCTATGGAAACCTCACAGGAAGTCCCTGTGTACCCGACTGGGCAGGTGCACTGCTTTTGCTCCTTGGCAGAATCATGGCTACATGTGCCTCCATTTTTGCAATGGTTGACCTCGCACTCGTTGCAGTCAGCCCCTTTCCAACCTAAAATATGCAATTTCGTGATAACATGATGGTATTGCTATTTTTCAATATCACAACATGTATATTTTTATCAAAACTGATCATACGCGTCTTGACAGTCTATTGAAAGTATAAAAGCACATTCTACATCACATCTTTTTATTTTATTGATTGTCAATCTTGTTATTTTGGATTCTTTTTTTAATAAATGTATTGTTTTATGAGTGGAAAAGGTATGTGCGTTTTTTTAAGTGGCCAACGGACACTTTAAAATTGAAAAGAAAGCGTTTAAACCGCACTTGGATCACAATACACCGCAAACTGCAGAAGCAATCTGACATGAAAAATAAGAAAAATATCTCAACATATCTGTAATTTGTTGAGGTAAAACACGTTAAAATCTTGCGTGCAGTGATTCTAATTTAAAAAGGAGCAACAACAAAACTTATTTTGGAAGAAAAACATATTCTCTGAAAGAAGATATTTCTTTGAATCGTGGAGCAATTTCCTATTTTCTCGGGAAAGTAGTCATTAGAAAATAAGAAAAGAACGAGTATATCAGATACAAAGATTTGTATAGTTAAAAACACAAATAGCCAATTATATAGAAAAAAGTTTGAAATCACTAACGTACGAAGTAGGTTCTCTGTTTCTAGTCCCTTTCATTGATCGTCTGGTCCATGAAGCCGTACTTTCGCTTGCTGCAGCGTTTGTGATAATCGATGTCCACAAAAAGTCAACCAATTCACTATCCGCAAAAGTACTGTCTCTATCTAAAACGCCAATTTTCAGTTTGAAAGAGCCCTATAAGCAAGAA